CTTTTTGCACTGTTTTTCTTTATTAAAACTTTTAAACTTGTTTATTGACAAACTTTGAACATGTTCTGGGATTTTGTTGTAAAAGCGTATACATTGCCCCATAAATGAATTACTAATTCTGTGGAGTCTAGTAAGTGGCATTACAAGCTTATGTTTGTTCCTAGTGTTTAAGGTATGAACATCCTTATTCTTATTAAAGCTATTTATGTTTTTATGTACATACATTACATTTTCATAAATATATTGCGATGACAAAGTTAATATGTTTATTTCTTTAAATTTTTCTCTGAGGGACTCTTTACAATTTAGATTATAAATCGCCCGTACGGCTCTCTTTTGCAAAACAAATATAGCTTCAATATCAGTCGCATTACCCCATAGCAAAATACCATAAGACATTACGCTATGAAAGTAACTAAAATACACTAACCTAGCTATCTCAACATCTGTGAGACTTCTAATCTTTCTTACAGCATATGCTGCAGAACTAAGTCTACTTGCTAATTTAGATATATGGGGGCCCCATTGAAGTTTCGCGTCAATAGTAATACCGAGAAAAACAGTGGTATCCACAAGACTCAACTCCTCCCCGTTTAAGAGCACATTGGTTTTCGAATGTTTTACATTAGGTATTGTAAATTTAATACATTTTGTCTTATTTCCGTTTAAGAGCAAATTGTTGGCGTTAAATCAATGTATTAGTTTCGATAGAGCATTATTTACATCGTCATATTTAATTGACTGCCGTTTCAGTTTGAAAATTAAAGATGTACCGTCAGCAAATAATACTATATCGTGATTGTCCTCTACAAGATAAGGTAAGTCATTAATATAGATTAAGAACAGGAATGGGCCAAGAATCGAGCCCTGAGGAACGCCCATTGATACTACCGATCCGGAGGAACATTTACCATTGATGACGAATTTTTGAGTTCTGTTACTTAAATATGAAGTAAGAAGTCTAAGCGCCAAATTTTTAACACCGTAATTTTGTAGTTTCCTGATTAATGTCTCATGATGAACACAATCGAAAGCCTTGGAAAGGTCACAGAAAATACCTAAGGCATTTTGTGAATTTTCCCAGGCATTAAAAATATATTTCATAAGCTCAACACCGGCGTCAGACGTCGAGCGACCCCTTGTAAAACCAAATTGATTTTTATGAAGTAATTTATTTGTATTAAAAAAAAATTAACAACTGATCCAAAATTATTTTTTCAAAAATTTTACTGATAGTTGGTAGTACAGAAATAGGTCTATAATTAGCGGGTTCCAATGTACTACCAGATTTAAATAAAGGTATTACTTTACTATACTTCATTAAATCAGGAAACACACCAGAATAGATACAAGTATTAAAAATAATAGCAAGATGAGGTGCAATTAAATCTATTATGGACGCAATCACTGTAACGGAAATCCCCCACAAATCTGCGGTTTTCTTTACATCAATGGTTTTGAAGTATTTTACAATATTATGCGGTAATACTTTTTCAAATCTTAATTATTTTAAACAGGTATTAACATTCTGTTTAAGTAATGACTCGGCGACAGTTGGAGAAGTATTCAATGACTCTGTTGTCAAGATAGGAACATCAGTGAAATATTTCTCAAACACCGCTGCAACTTCTTGATTTGATTTAGTCAATTCATTATTAATTTTTAATTGATAGTTTGAGTTACGAGGTTTCTCTTTACTGGTTTCGCTGTTAATTATACTCCACGTCATTTTAATTTTATTGTTAGCCGTCTTAATTTTGTTACTAATATGTAATGATTTGGCTGTGGAGCAAACTCTTTTAAGCATTTTAGAATAATTTTTTACATATTCTTTAAAAGCATCGGAAAGATTATACGATCTTTCATGGTAAAGGTCATATAACCTTCGTCTGCTTTTATGAATTCCTACTGTCGCCCACTCATTAAATGCCTTGCAACTGTTACTGGAAAATGTTTTAGAAGTGAATGTTTTATTAAATTCATTGTTTATAAGGGTAAATAATTCTCTATATAAATAGACTGCATTGTTCTTATAAGAAAGGGATGGAAGGTTTTTTACCATATTACTTCTAAATTTCTCCAGGCATTTTGCATTAATAGGAACAAACACAATTTTCTCAATTACCTGTTTTTTGTGCATATAAGGTAACGAAATCAGTTGTCCACAGTGATCTGAACAAAGTTTTTGAATTATTGATTTGTTGATTGGTACAACACCTGTAAAAATATTATCAATACAAGTTGCACTACATACTGCAATACGTGTAGCTTCAAAGAATAAATTATTAAGATTATGGGATTTGAACAAAGAACAAAATTTAATACTGATGGAAGAAGTTTCCAGGAGATTGATATTAAACTCTCCACACACTACAAGAGATATATTCTGTTTATTAAGCTTCACTAAAACTTCTTCTATAATTTTTTCAAAAGTATCATAACTTGAACATGGGGATCTGTAAACACTGACAACAATAAGGTGCTCAAGCTCAACACATGCCATTTCTACAGTACGCTCAATAGAGAAGCTCACAATGTCTTTACGTTCTTTACACGATAAGGACTTATTAGCTAATATTAAGGAGCCACCACGTAATTTAGTATCTCTATTGAACGAACTGACCACCTGGTGATTACTGAAATTAAATATGGAGTTGTAATCTTTCAACCAATGTTCTGTAATACATAAAATATGTATACTGTTACTATTTAAAAATAATTCAATTTCTAATTCTTTGCCTAACATACCTTGTTTATTTTGATGCACCAGGCTGATACAGTTTTCATTATGGTAATTACTTACTATATTCATTACTTAATGACTCACTTTTACGATTATTTGCATTGGCTTGACAGAGTTAAACAAAGGGGGGCTAGTTAGAGGTTACATAAAAACATTTCAGGACTTAATACACTCGAGCTGATTAAATAAATAAAGAACAATAGGAATTTATATTTTATTTATCTGAAAAAAAAAAAATAACAACTGTGCTAACATTATAATTAAGTGTGAAATATAGGCAAGTACCGCGGTTTTACTCGAGCGAAAATTAATTCTTTATAGAGATACCTATGCCCCAAATCTATGTTGGATATAGACTGATAGTAGTGTGCCCAGTGTTCAGGTCCGACAGTATATCCACTGGTGAAGAACGAGCCATGAGCGAGGATTATCGTTAGATATCCCCGTGCGTTTTAAGACCTTTCTGCCCCCACATTTCCCTTTTTCTTCTGTGTCTTGAATAGTGCCCGACGGCATGCCTTGTGTAAAGATTGAAAATTTCTGAAAGACGCAGGTTGCATGAATACCAGAACAAGTGGTTACTACCCGACGTGATGTGAATACATAACGTCGGTTGGTCGCCACTTTGGCTCGCAAAGCAAAAGGGAAGATCTCCCGCCGGGCAGTGTGAATATTTTTTAAAACTTTACATACATAATATATACATAAATATTACATACATATACATATATAAACACTCACGCCTGTCACCCAGAGGGGTAGGCAGAGATTATGGACTTCCATTTGGCACGATCCTGACACACCTCTCTCGCTTCCTCCACATCCATATACCTACGCATACACGCTCGTCGGTTAAAGATACTCTTGATTTGGCCCATTTTTAATATATCGCCAATTTGGTCGATAAACTTTCGCCTAGGGTGACCCTTCCCGACTATGCCGTTCACCTCTGCAACATAAATTTGCTTTGTCACTCTTTCCTCATTCATTCTTTCTACATGGCCAAACCACCGAAGCATTCCTTTCTTAATCCTGGTCACAACATCATCTTGCAAACCACACTCTTCTCTTATTAAACAATTTCTCACTCTGTCATTCAGATTCATCCCTACCATACTCCTTAATGACCGCATTTCTACAGCATTTATTCTACTATCGTGCTTCTTCTGCCACACCCAACTTTCACTACCATACATTAAAGTAGGTACTAACACAGCATTGTGAATTGCCATACGTGCCTTTTTGGACACATTTTGACTTTTCATAATAGAGTGTAGAGCCCCATTAACTATGTTTCCTGCATTCACTCGTCGTTCTATATCCTTATTATATCTACCATCCCTGCTAAAATAAATATTACATACATAAATAATCCAACAAGAATATAACACTGGTAGAGCCACGCGGCAGCTTTTGCTGTCGCACGGATGGGCTGGCTCGAACCGGGGTAGTACCACGACCTCACAGAAAACCAGCGTGAAGTAGAGGTTTACCTCTGCGTTTCGCTTGGTGAGTGCAGGTGGCCGGAGGCCCTTTTTACTGGAAATGAGGCATTCCATCTTAGTCCTCACGGGTGACAACGCATCTACATTTTGATTTGTAACAGAGGATAGATGTAGATGTCTATGGGCCGCAGCAACCACTTACCATCAGGTGGACTGTGTGCTCGTTTGTCACCCTTATACTATAAAAAAAAAAGAAGTAACTATACACAACATGTAAAACACCTTGTGGTTCCCTTTAAGTGCGTTGTCATAATCAGTACTCATCGTATAGAAATAACAAGTAATACTAATTCTGATAACGCACTGAATGGGAACCACTGGGTTTTTGTGACATGTTGTAGGTATCAACGAAAACGATTCCCAAAGTTTCAGGGCTACTTGTGAAACTTTAAGATGCTCTCCAAAATAATGGTCAATCCTGCAATCAGTACGTTTGACTTAGGCCTTTTATTTAATATATTGTTAAATAGAATTAGCGATTTCCCTTACACCTGACATTGATCAAGTACAAAAACATGGTAAGAGCGCACGTGAAGACAAACTGATTTTTTTACTTTATTATATTGCATTTTTCAGTAAATATTATTTATATTCTATATTGACTAAAATATTATTATAATGCATTTTTATAGACAATAACATCATTATGCACAACTTGAATAAACAAAAGTCTCGGAGAGGTATACTCGGAGATTAGTATAAAACGCGGGTGTGACTTAAACTTTTTAACTTGCAGCAAAGACATCCACAAGATGGAGCCGAAAATTCTTCTTCTCTTGTTATTGGTAAGTGTCAATAATTCTGAAAAATAATAGTTTTATGCTAAATGTATTATTCTTGGGAACATGAATTTATTACGTTATTTATTTTTATTATTTGAAATTAAATTAGAAAGAAATGGAAGAAATAAATTTAACATTTTTTTTTGTAAAATGTATAACTACCGGTGAGGCTAAAGCATCTTAGCTTATACGGCCAGAAACTTGATAAAAACCACGTGTCCCAAAATTAAAGTTTAAGTGGGCAACTTTGCAAAATATCAATGTTATTATTTTGTATTAGCAACCTAAGAAGCATATATGTTCACAAAGATTCCAAATAAAACGAAAATATTTGACGTGTCAAGAGAAAGTTAAAGAAAATTTATTTTATTAAAAGAAAATTTTTACTTTTAATCAACTTTCACACGTTACGATATAAAAAATGTTTCAACATGTATATATATATATATATATATGTAATATATATATATATATATATATTACATATATATATATATATATATTACATATATATATATATATATATATATATATATATATGTAATATAGAATAAAATAAATAAATAAAATAATACCAGGTCAGTTCAGTTTTTAAATCACTCAATAATCGAGATCACTCGTCACTCTCTGTCTTGATCTAAATTTTTAATTTTTATTTTTAAAACTTTACATATTCGTTTTATTTAGAACTAGGATGAACAGCTATGCAACTGAGATTGTTAATACAAAAAAAAATTACAGTGATATTTGCAAATATGTAGTCATAGTACTTGAAATTATTATGTAGCGTATCAAATTTAAAAGTATTAAAAAAATGTTATTATAACTTAAATAAGTCAGGTTTTATCCATGGGTCGTCATCAATTTGCCCGCTATTTGGTGCCCGCTTACGATTGAGTTTTGGTAAAAGTGTTATGTTATATTTGCTATTAATTGATTTTATTTAATTGGATGAACATAATGAGTTTTGTAAAGAGAAATCCTGTGTGAACGTTCATTAATAGCAATATACACGCACTTTTGGAGTGAAACTTCTTTATCGATCTAGTCGAAAAATTTAGTACGGTATTAAAAAACAAAAACGTTACGTTTTCTTGTAACGTTTAACCACCAGAGCTGCATCAGTGTTTTATTTAGCCTGCTTATATAAAACATAAAATAAAATAAGAACGATACGTCGTAAAGAAGTTTCACTTCTGTACGCAATTACACGCATGATCTTTTTTCTTCATTCTTCTTTTTATTTGTAAAAAAAAAAACCTAACTTAATCCTAACCTATTATTTTTCAGATCGGCACAGCCTTAAGCATGCCATGTAAGTATCTTTCAAAGAGTTATACATCCGCTAGTATCTCTTCTTAATTAGGTTTGTGTGATATGTTATAACGTATGTATTTTAGTTGCGGTAGGAATGGCTTGATCCCACCGAGGAAGGATTAAGTTCCGTAGGAAACCAGCGTAAAATAGCGTCTTGATGCTACTCTGTTGCGTATGACGTGTCGAGAACGCAGACCGTCTGAATTGGCATTGAAGAAATCCATCCTCTTTATTAGGAGTGAAACGTATCTAAATTCCTTTTTTTCAGCCTTAAATAAAGAAAGGAGACGGGGATTTCTGGGCCCAATTGTAATAAGTTGAAATATGTTTTAAAAAAAGTGTTATATTTTTCTATTTCAAAATATAAAAAAATTAGCCCAATTCACAATCTGGAAGACGAGAAATCTGAAAAATAAGTTTATGTCACGAATAAAGTAAGAAATCGATTACATATACATACATAATACATAAACACTCACGCCTGTCACCCAGAGGGGTAGGCAGAGACTACGGACTTCCATTTGGCGCGATCCTGACACACCTCTCTCGCCTCTTTCACATCCATATATCTACGCATACACGCTCGTCGGTTAAGGGTACTCCTAATCTGGCCCATTTTCAATGTATCGCCGATCTGGTCGATAAACCTTCGTCTAGGGCGTCCCTTCCCGACCCTGCCGTTCACTTCTGCAACATAAATTTGCTTTGTCACTCTTTCCTCGTTCATTCTTTCTACGTGACCAAACCACCGAAGCATTCCTTTCTTAATCCTTGTCACAACGTCATCTTGCAAACCACACTTTTCTCTTATTACACTATTTCTCACCCTGTCATTCAGATTCAGCCCTAGCATACTCCTTAAGGAACGCATTTCTACAGCATTTATTCTACTCTCATGCTTCTTCTGCCAGACCCAACTTTCACTACCATACATTAAAGTGGGTACTAACACAGCATTATGAATTGCCATACGTGCCTTAGTTGACACATTCGATTACTTTAATCGATTAATGTGAAAGAGTTTTAACAATTAAACATAAAAACAACTTACAGCAAATGATTGATTCAATCAGAATGTATTAAAGCGTATCAGTCTCCTTTAGCTTCATTACTCGTACATTCATTATAAAATAGAACCTAGATTTACGCACAAGAAATTTGCTGCTGAGAAAACCTTTATTGCATATGTTTATTGCTTCATTACTGTCTTTAGAAAATAGTTGGTTTTGATTCATGCTGTGTCTTTAGAAGAGTAATGTTTAACAGTGAATGCTAGGTTTCATGACATTACATAGATACCTTAATGGCAAAGCCCACGTCAATTAAAATTGAATTATTGATTTAACATAATTATAATAAAAATTTGCTGGAAAATAAAATAACATTTTTCTATTGAAGGCAAACCTAAGTGTGGATCTGGCGGTGGACAGTGCGGTAGCCAAGGCTGTGACAAGAGCTGTGATCATGGCTGTGCAGATGGCTGTGATTGTGGCTGTAAACATGGCTGTGATAGTGGCTGTAAACATGGCTGTGAACATGGCTGTAAACATAGCTGTTAACATTATTAAAAGAGAACTTTGCGATTATAACATGAAATCGTGTTTAAATTTTACTGAAACTTATAGTTACAATAGAGATGTTTAAAAAAAATTGTTTGTTTCTTATTACAAATCACATCTTCCACCTTACGGCTTACGAGTCTTAGAGAAATGTTAGTTGCGCCGATTAGTAATTGTGGGTAGCAGCTTGTCGGTAAGTAAACTTAATTCCACTAATTTGAGATACATATATTTACCCGCGCAATCAAGTATTTAACGGCGACAAGGTTTCTTGTGCATCCTGAAAGGTGCTCGATTTCTTGCCAAAAATAAAATTTTCTCACATAGCGTTGGTTAATGTCTTCGCTTACCGGTTCGCAATTATTTTATGTATTTTGGATGATGAACGTCATCCAAAATACATTTTTGATGACGTTGATCATCCAAACATTTTGTACTATGTGACTTTTTAAAATATAGCATTTGTTATCATTTGACGGCTCCGTGGCGCAGTGGCTTAGCAATCAGTTGTTGCGCTTGGGGTCGCGGGTTCGAATCCCGCACGGAACAAGTATTTGTATGGCCTACAAATAATTGTTCCGGGTCTGGATGTTTGTGCTTGTGCAATTTATGTTTGTAAACTGCCTCCACGACACAGGAGAAAATCCTAGTGTGGGGGTAACGTTTTTAAAAAAAAAAATTTTAACAGTTATTTCTGCAGGCACTGATATTATATAAGTACTTTGTAATTTTATATGATTTCCACTCCATTTGCATTGGTTCAAAAATATGGAAACCACTCGAAAAACTCTGACTAAGGAATTACTTATCAAGCAAACACGTCGTGATGGTTATTCTGCTCGCATGCATCGTATTTTCGTTCTTTAAAAAAAATAAACGATGCTGCATTTCGGGGTATGTTTATATCATAGTGCGCCTGGTGTAGCTTTGAAGACCTCTACTGCTATGTAAGACGTATTAAGAAGGAAATATGTAAACCGTAAACGACGGATGCTCCCAAGCCTAAGATCGCATTTCCTAAGTTGCCTTCCATAGGATTCCGGAGTTCCACGGACACCCTTCCGAATGGAGCCTCTTGTATGAAACATTTAATTCAACCACTAATTCTAACACAGAGTAAACGAACTTAGAAAGAAATTTATCTGGTTTGCAAAGTTAAATGCAAAGCGCAACATGTTTATTGGCCTATTAACCGAACTGCTGATAATAACGATTTTATATGGGATTCTTTAATCAAATAATATCAGGACAAGCGTTACCTCGCGAGTACTTTTCTCGATTCACAACTTCAACTCGAAGCATTCATTAATAAATACGCCGCACCAATCGCCGATTTTAAATATTTAAATATACCAAGTCTTTGTGATTAAGTCTTTATTGATTTTGCGCTCAAACGCTTAGATCGCGAAACTTCAAAGGAATTTGAAATGTTTGTCCGAAACGTGGACATACCAACTTATGACAGATTTATTTATTTCGTAATAGATCAAGTGAAAATAATGCAACGCATAAACTCAGGACCCGCATATAAAGGGTGAACGAAAGAAAGTGATCCAAATATCTCGCATTTTTATATTACTTCGAATTACAATGACGTTACATCGGCAACGTGAAGACTTTGTAATAAATCGCACGAACATATTTATAATTGTCGCGTATTCATGATATATTTGCAATGATTTTTTTATAGGAGAGGGGGCAAACGAGCATGCGGCTCACCTGATGGTAAGTGACTACCGCCGCCCATGAACAACAGCAACACCAGGGGAACCAGGGGAATTGCAGATGCGTTGCTAAACTTTTAAAAAGAAGTAGGCTCTTTTCTTGAAGGTCCCTAAGTCGTATCGGTCCGGAAAAATCGCTGATGGTAATCGATTCCACAAGGAAGTCGTGCGAGGAAGAAAACATCTTCTAAATCGCACAGTGGTGGACCGCCAATCATCCAGATGGTGTGGATGGTATCGGGAGTTCTGCCACGATGTGCATTCATGAAATTTGGCGGCTGGGATTAATCCGAACAATTCCTCAGAGCACTCCCCGTGGTAAACGCGAAAGAATATGCAAAGGGATGCAACATCTCTTCGCAGCGCCAATGAATCGAGCCGATCGGAAAGGACTCGGTCGTCGACGATTTGAGCTGCTCAGCGCTGGATGCGGTCAAGTGGAAGGAGCTGGCACTGGGGAGCCCCTGCCCAGAGATGAGAACAGTATTCCATGTGAGGCCGAACCTGCGCCTTGTAAAGTTACAGGCGGTGTGCCGGCATGAAATACTGCGCTGCTTTGCTGAGCAAGCCAAGCTTTTTAGAGGCCAATTTGGCCTTCTCTTCCAAGTGACCACGAAATTGCACGTCACTCGATATGTCGACTCCGAGGATTCCGATACTGGCTGAGAAAAGAAGGGGAGTGCGTTGAAATTGAGGAGATACGACAAAGGGGTTCTTTTAGCGGTAAACGCGCAAACTTGTGTCTTCTGAGGATTAAACTGGACTAGATTTAGTTGCCCCCAATCCGAGACTTTGTTCAGCAAAGACTCGACTTCATACACAAGTTTATTCCGGTACTCGGCGATGTTTTTCCGAGAAATATTGGCACGGCCGGTGTATAGAGCATCACCAGTGCTGTCATCCGCATAGCAATGAATGTTACCAGTTAGTAACATATCATTGCTTTGCAGAAGAAACAGCGTTGGTGATAGCACACAGCCTTGTGGAACACCAGCGTAAATAGGCTTGTAGTCGGAGCATGTATCGTCTACAACGACCTTGATGCTCCGATCTGCAAGAAAGCTGGTGATCCAATTGCACAATTTCTCGGGAAGCCCATAGGAAGGGAGCTTCGAAAGAAGAGCTTTGTGCCAAACCCGATCGAAGGCCTTTGCAATATCCAAACTAACGGTCAACGCCTCTCCCTTGGACTCTACTGCTCCCGCCCATCTATGAGTCAGGTAGACCAGAAGATCACCAGCTGATCGACCCCAACGAAAACCGTATTGGCGGTCACTAATCAGCTGGTGATCCTCAAGGTACCGCATGAGCTGGCAGTTAATAATGGATTCCATTATTTTGAAGAACAAAGAGGTGATGGCGATAGGCCTATAGTTGGACGGGTCTGAGCGGTCGCCTTTTTTAGGGATCGGGTGGACAAAAGCTGTCTTCCATGACTTCGTGACTACGACTGTGGAGTAGAAGTACCGGAAAAGACGCGTTAGGACCGGTGCCAACTCCGGAGCATACGTCCTCAGCACAATTGGGGGGGATTCCGTCAGGCCCACTCGACTTCTGGATGTCCAGGGAGAGGAGTGATCTGCAAACTGAGCGCTGTGAGAACCACACATCCGGCATGGAGTAAAAAAATATGTACCACGCTTTCCTGCTACAGCTCGACAACTAGAGCTTAATGATGACATCCGGCGGTGTAGCCTTTCTGTCGGCTGGCAGCGCAGACAATAAACTGTGTCGAATTTTAAATCCACAAAATAATAACACATTATTCGATACTGCGTATGTCAATAATAACACGGTTACTTGTAGGTTAGGTTAGGTTAGGTTATCTTATTTCTCCTTTTTTTTTCCTTTTTTTTTATTAGGTAGATCATCGATCATAATTTTATTACGACTGCATGTTTATACTGCATAAAGCTGCTCCGTAAAATTAGTTAAGAGCAATAAGAGAGCGTATTCAAACTCTTTATATAAAAATAATATACGACAATAATACGTGCTCTATTCCAAAGTCCCGAAACCTTTCAGCTCGAGTTACAAAACCGTTTTCAGTGCCTAGAAGACTGCACTGAAGTGGACGATATGAATGACAAGCTCGTGGAAACTGTCCATGCGATCGGAGCTAAGTTCTGCAAGACCCGCCGCAGACGAACACAAAAACTCTCCGATCACACTCTCAATCTCATGGCTGTTAGACGGGAGATGAAGCCATATTCTTCAACAGATTTGACAGCATACAGGCAACTGAACAGACAGATCTCCAAATGCATGCGGCGGGACTTACGCAACTTCAATACAGCTTGTATTGAAGAAGCATTCGAGCGGAACCAAGGCTCCAAAGTCTTTGCCAGAGATCTGTCTGCCAGAAAGAGTCAACTGTCAAAGCTGAAGACTGAATGTGGCAGCATCGTTTCCGGGGCACCTGATATTTTGAATGAGATTGAGAGGTTCTATGGACAGCTGTACACGTCATCGTTGGAGCCACACGCAAGTGTGAGTAACGATCCAAGAGAGAGTCTTATCCAACACTATTCCGAAGATATCCCGGACGTCAGTCTGAGCGAGATTAGAATGGCTCTCCAGCACCTTAAAAACGGCGAGGCCCCAGGCGAGGATGGAATTACAGCGGAGCTTCTGAAAGCGGGTGGAAGACCGGTACTTGAAGTCCTTCAGAAGCTCTTTAATTCCGTCCTCCGTGGTGGCGTTACACCGTAGGCGTGGAGCAGAAGTGCACTGGTCTTGTTCTTCAAGAAAGGTGACAACGCTCTCTTGAAGAACTACAGACCGATTTCCCTTCTGAGCCGCGTCTACGTGCTGTTTTCGAGAGTCATTACGAATCGTCTCGCGCGCATACTTGACGACTTCCAGCTTCCCGAGCAAGTGGAAATAACTGAAATAAACTTCACATTAGACACAGGACTTTCAAGAATTAGTCTTATTAAGCTAAGCAAATTTGAAAGTTTATTGATTCAATATTAACATTATATTATAATTTACAATAAAATGTTGAATATTTACGATGATGAGTGATTCCGTCGAAATTTGGGCGGTGCTGCAGTCCCAACAGCGGTGCCAAGTTGACTGTCGGTATATCGAAGTGCTGAAGTGTTTGTACAGTAGAGCTACGATGTCTATCCGAGTACAGAACCAGAGTACGAAACCTATCCAATTGCAGAGAGGTGTAAGACAGGGTGATGTTTTCCCCGAAACTCTTCACCGCTGCATTGGAAGACGTTTTCAAGCTTCTGGACTGGAAAGGATACGATATTAACATCAATG